ATAATTCAAACCAGATATTATCAGATCTGTTTGCTCCCAGTGAATTCTATAATCCATGGTGAAGCTATCCAGATAAGTAAATAATATTATAATTTCAAATTTCAGACTGATTCACCTTCCTCATACAGTTCATATTTACCTCATTTACAAATTCCCACTTGAGAAAGTGTTCCCGGCATTTCTAGACTTTATAATCAAACACGCACTTGCAGAGAAAGCAGGAGTGCCGCATTTGCAGGGGCGTGAGAAAGGCCCATCATCCCCCCACGGAACTCATTAGGCACATACCTGCAAGCACCGTAAATAAGCAGAGCACCAAAAAATTTGGTCAGCGAATGAGCAAGTGAAGAAGTGAAAACTTATTGTTAATTAACGATTTTACATGGTCCTCAATCTGGCAAGTAATGGCGAAATGAGCCCAACTCCAGTGTGGGATATGCAAAACAATGTCACCAAAACCCCACTCTCCTACATACGATAGGTCATCAGGGTTGACTTTGCACTTCCAGCTTTATAACCTGAGAAGATATTAAATTATCCAATCATAGCACCTGATAGTCATAGGCAGCAATAGACAGGACAATGCCCAGCATGATGTATGCATATCCTAGGCAGTCTTCAGTTCTAAGCATCAATGGTCAGCTTGTCAGCCAGGGAAATGAAGTGCTTCCTAGCATTCTTGAACCAAGAAGGCATGGATATATTAACCATAGATGTACTTCACGTCCATCACCCTGAAAAACCATGCATTAAAAATCTACACAGAAGTATTATCGGATTTGAATCACAATATATATATACTTCCCACCATGATGGCCTGAGAAAAAGCCTTGTTGTATCTCCTTATTTAATTCCATGTTAACATTTAATGAACGGAGGGAAGCCTAAAGAAGAAAGGAAAGCAAGCCAATAAATTCTATGCAATAAATACAGTTTCATCAGCATTTCAAACACAGTCTTCACACATTATCTCGGTATTTATATTATTTTAGGATTCTTCTTTTAGGTTACAAATCCTACCACCATCGTAGGTGCCCAGAGGTTCCAAAAAATTCCAACAGAAAAGTGAAGGCAGGATTGAGCCCAAGCAACAACAAAATATCCTTTTATCTGTTAATTAAAGAATAGTCGTCAGAATGTTGTTTTCAGTACATGGTAAAGAAAAAAAAGAATTAATAAGAAAACTTGAATAGTAGAATTCAGCGAGTTCTTTAGTCATTCCGCATGCGTCTTTGAGAATTTTTCCGTAAAATGTTAGTACAACATACAATTTCATTTGGACATGAGCCAGCTGTGTTAATATTCAAAAAACAATACATACAACATACATCAATATCAATTTTTCATTCTCCAAGACATGGACTATTAGCACGCAAAGTTTATTACTTCAGCTGACTACAGGGTCAAGTTCAGTTGAAAAGATTACAAGTCCGAGAAAGTTAGTATTTTTTTTTTTTCAATGAATAATAAATAGCAGTTTGCTATAAGAAATCAGGATTGCAACACATATCCTCATGCCGTTGGAGAATCTAGACATCCAATCCAAAAGGTCAACTTAAAGTTCAGACCATTTGAACCCAGGGACAGACCCACCCCCCCCCCCCCAAAAGGAAAAAAAATAATAGGCATTATATATAACGTCATCACGTTTCAAATTGTTAAATTGTTTCTTCCGCCTTCAGATTTTTTACCTGTTCGCTGCTTCCCTTTAATTTTTAACAACTTAAACATGTTTTTAAAGACTACTTCTCCACTCTCTGATTTTTCAATCTTTGGAAGAATGCTCTCTTTTTTCTTTAACCATACTGTAAAATAGATTTTTTTTTTAATAAAGTGGAAGATGATTTTTTTAACACGTATTTGAATAATTAAATTAAAAAATATTTAAAGAATTTCACTATAGAAATGATTATAAATGAATTTTTTCCAATGAAGAATCAATAGTTGTTTTAACAAAAAATGCACATTGTATCACTTCTTATATATATTTCTTTTTTTAGTAAGTTAATGTTATTTATTTTCATATTATTATATTTTCTTATTTTCATTATCATGCATTTAAAATTTTAAAACGCTAATCAATTTTATTTACTCTCGGTCCTAATTATAAGACCCAGTTGAAATTCGAGGAGATTAAGGAAGTAGTTAAGTTAAGTTATTTGTAACAAATAGTGTTGTTATTCCTAAAATATCCTTGCTAATTAAGTGTGTTGGTTAGAACTATCATTATTAGAAGGACTATCTTGGAAAAAAATGCATAAATATGAGAGACAAAATGGATTGGGGTCTTATAATTAGGACCAAATTAAAAGTCAAATAGGGTCTTATATTAAGGACCGGAGGTAGTACTATATTAATTTTATGTTTGAAATTATATCAAAAATAATAACTAAAATACGCATTAAATATATTTAGTCCATGCCTACAAATGCATTTCCTCTTCTAACATTTTGCAGTTGATTTCTTTCTATTGCAGGCCCTTTGGCAACAAGAAAGAAGCAATTCGTGGTTATTAATATAGACAAAAGCTTTAGTCAAAGCAGTAAATGATTCAAAGACCTAGTGTTGATCAAAACAAGAGAAGATAATCAGGTAAACAGGCAGATCAAAATGAAAAGAAGAAGAGGAAAGTAAAAGAAAGATATTTTTTTTAAAAATTTGTAAAAAAAATAATCAACAAAATTTTAAATGATGTTGAGCTGTTTGAAACAGAGGAAAAAAGAAATAATAAAACAAGAACATAAAAAGTAAGTCTTACCACCAATTATGTCTGCACAGAAGGACACAGTGTACTCCTCAAAAGATGTTCGTTGTGGAATTGCTGTCCATCCTCTAGAGAGAAAAGCAATGGATATTATTGCTAAGAAGATATTTCTCATGGAAGGAAAAACACTGTTTCTCTCCACATTATAGCCACGCGGCCAATTTGCTAACATTTGGGCAGCAATAAAACATGCAGACTCAGAAAGCTAATTCTCCAGTTTACACAATAGACGTCATTATATACTGCTAAGAGACACGCTAAAGAAGAAAATCACATTCACGGCAAAACAAAGCATAATGCAACATTACTGCAATACAAAATATGCACGCAGAAATTGTTACTTGTATAACTAATCGCTGGACCACGAAGAAATATTTTAGGTGATTATCAGCGACTTCAACCAGATACTTACACTAAATCTGAAAGCACGCCAAGGAAAGGACCTGCTAAGGCAGCCGATGCATATCCATAACAAAGAGACATGGTTTTGGCTCCTTTCCAATTCCATTGGAAGCCAACTCAAACTCTCCCAACGCTGACCACAGACCTTCTAAAACTGACAACAGGACGGATTGGTAAATGAAATTGGCATTCACATCACCAATCCGAAGCTAAGTTCAATAATTAATTTCCGGAAAGAGAAAATAGCATCGAATCTCAATATTTGGTTGCGAAGATGAAAGAAACGTATATTAAAAACTATGGAAAATTTCAGGATCTCAACTTAGAGAATAAGGACAATTAAGCGCTATTGAGGCTTCTGTTTTAGTTTTCGTAAGTTGTGCTGCCATTAACAAAAGGAATTTAAACTCTAGATAGTTTCTTTCCCTGTTCGCACATTTTTTCTTGGAAACCAAACAATCTTATAATAACATGAATAGCCGACCAACCTGAAGCAAGAGAGTAGAGAAAGATGAAGTTTCGCTGGAAACGAAGAAATGAGGACGAAATTCCACGGTCGAATATTGTTGAAGGTCTGTTGGAGCAAGAGGCATAAGGAAAAAGGAAGATCGAGAAGCAGGAACAGAAGAAAAAGAAGACGAACAAGAATGGATTAGGTTTTCAAACCGAGCCCTCGGTGACCACTCCCATTGGCTTTTTAATATCTCACACTTTAGATAGAGAGAATGTGAAAGCAAGAAGTTCCGCGACGTTAGGATCGTGGATATATCGTAGATCGCGACGGGCAGATGAAAATGAGAGAGCTGAAGAACACAGTCAGAGCAGAAAGGAGGGGTTGTTCGGTTACGCCTATGCCGTTGTGCTGTGTACAAATCGGGACGAAACATCAAGCTATCCCTTAGCTAGGCTAAAGACTGAAGAGAGTAAAGACGTCCATCAGGTTCGCGCTTTTTTCGGTTGTTTGCTTTTCCTTCTCGCGCTCCTCGCGCACGAGAACAGAAATCGTTGTCGTTCGATATTAATGAGACAACTTATTCTCGTGTGTGTCAGCGGGTGCAGGAACACACGCCAGCAAGCTTCTGTTGGGAAAAAAAAGAAAGAAAAGACCGAGGGCATGCCGTTCCTAGGTCGCGCCAACATAGAGCTACACAGAAGGGGTCCGCATTTGGTGCTCGAAAGAGGCAGGCAGCACGATTTGTAAAACGCTTGAGCGAATAAATAATGGACTTCAGGCCTGAAAAATAGAACAAGTCATGGATCAAGAAAATATTTGAGTAAAAACCAAATTATAGTTTTATAAGTAATTTTATGAAGTTTAAAATAAATATATAAGAAGAATTTCATCTTAATTTGCATAAAAGTATTTTTTAAAAATGATTTCTAAACACCCTTTAAATCTAAAAAAAATAAGTTATGTACTTTTTCAAATTGTTTTCTTTTTTAATTTTTATTCACAAGGTACTTAAATTTCCCTTTGCCTTCTTTAATATGATTAGTTTCTAACTTTGCAATTCCATTTGGGTCTTACACCGGCACACTAGAGAAATTGAAGGCGTCTAGTGCTTATTTATTTATTTAATTTCATAATATTACAGGACAATGGAAGATTTGAGTCGTATAATATTTACTCACATCAAATTTTCTGAAAAAACTGCGTAAGCTTATATTTCATATTAATTTATATTAATAAATTATTTGAATGTATTAATCAATAATAAATGTATGGCGGAACTCTCGCTCACATAGACAAAATCAAAATTTTTAATTACGATGTATGGTGAGTTGGTGACATTGAGAAGTTCCTTGTACCAAAGTGAGAGTCAGGCTAAAAAAATGGTTACGAAAAGAATATCATCATTTTATTAAATCATTCCCAAACTGAATAAAGGGCGTGCACATGGCCTGATTGGCACTAGACAAGGGCGTGGGAAAGAAAAATGATCCAATAATACAATGCATTATCCACAGGTCACAACCCTACAACTACAACTGAAATCTACATCCTTCCTCATAGAGTCGTTGGCCATATCTGTAGCAATCTCAGAAATACTACGTTGAAGGTGACACTGAAAAGCAGGCAGGAGATAACGGAAAACGTGATTCCATTGCCATGATATGCTGTTCTGTTTCATATACATAGCAGGAACGAGTTTGAGCTTGGACATTCACAAAAACCCAAATGTGCTGCAAATTTGGAGATCTTAATTCTTTTCAATTTCTAAACCGTCAGAATTGAAAAGCATCAGTTGAGAAATACCTTGTTACACATTTTTGTCTAGTTTGGCAGCTTCTGTCTTTAAAATATGGCTATTCAAATGCTTGGATCTCTGCATCAGTCAATTTATCTTTTGCCTGTAATGATGAATCCCAAATTCTCTATGGTAAACTCCAAGATACAATCAATTCCAGCCTTACTAGTCAGTAGTTACAATGGTAAAGCTGGTGAAGAAAAACAGAAAAGTTTGACTCATTTGGAGTAAAACTATGGACTTACAATGGAATTTTCTGGCATCCAATCAGGAATCTTATTTGAAAGAACAGTGACATATTGCTCCATTGCTTGCTCTTGACTCATAACCCCAAGTTGCTGCCAAGCATTCCTTCCACAACCAAAAAACCTACTTATTCGACAACTAATAGGGACAAAAGGGCTAGAATTAAGCATTAGAAACAAAAAGCGAAAGGAATGAACGTCTAGAGGAGGGAAAAAAACGAACAAGTAACTACATTACAGAGTTGAAGTTAATTAAATACCATTTAGCTCGGGCGGAAAAATTCAGTGCCATTGGCTGAGGTTTCTGGCAAGGCCCGTGAGTGGCGATCTTGTGAAATCCATATAGCTGCATCTTTACATCGTTGCCAAGATTCGCTATTCGGTTAGCATTGCTCTTGGATTCAACAAACGAAACTGCAGCACCAAAAAGCCTCTCCAATTCAGTACTCTCTATTCCCTCCCAATCATCCTCTTCCAACCATTCTTCCCTTTCTTCGTCATCCGTTCCCTTCTTACTAGACTCATCAATCTCATTGCAATTCCCATCGTAATCCGGGTTCGAGATCTCAATCTCTTCATCCACTTCGCTTGCCTGACTCCTCTGGCTGCTTTCATCAACATGATTCTCTGTTGATTCCACAGCTTCAATTCCACTGAAAACTCCGTTCTCATCAATCTTCTTGGCATCATGTATTTTGGGGGATCCGCAATTCGCCTCCAACAGCTTGCCGACAATTGATTCACCTTTAAATTCTTCGTAGTTTCTAGCGATCAGAACAACCTCCTCTGTTTTGCGAATATCATCTGATGGAACCCCATGATCGCGAGAAGCCATGGCCACTTTATCGTCTACGTCATCACTGGAAGCAACAGAGAAGAGCTTAAAGAAAATTGACGGAAGCAGAAAAGAAACAACTAGAGTCAGAGCAAACTCCCACAAAAGTTCCATGGCTTGCTGGATGAGAGGGATACAGAGATGGAGGGAGAAAAGCAGTCTGTATTGGAATGCGAACTGGGGTATAGAGACGATGGGAATCACCGAGAGAAGAAAAGAATTTCGCATTCAAGAGGAAGGTATATTCTGTGTTGCATCCTCACTGTGCAATTAGGTGTCGGTCCTAAACATGTTTTACTTGGGGATTTATCAGTCGGTGTTGGAAAACGACCCTCCCACCACCACCGAGATAGTGTTGCTGCAACAAGAGATAGGACCTTTACTCTTTGGTGAAGACCAATTATATCTGCACACTTGCGTGCGGAATGTCATGATTTTGGTGAATTTGGCATGAAATAAATGTGTATTAAACAAATGGACCCATAATATTATTTGTTTAATATTGTCTGGCTTAAAAGTTAAATGTAAAAAAAATAAAAAATAAAGCCTATAATAAACTACTATGTTATAGTTCTTTTATTACATGAAGATAGATGGTATAAATTTATAATTAATTATATATTTAGGTTTATCATGATAGTACAAAATATTATATTTCTCTATGTTTTAATTAAAAACCATTATAACAAGTACAAAAATATTTTTAGAAGTTATTTGATTAGGTATTTGTCTTTTGTATTATAAAAATATATACAAGTTTTAACCATGAAAAATCAATTAAAATATTTCAAGCGCCAGAGAATTGGGTGTTTGGGATTTGTTTAAGATAATAATCATTTTTATGTTATTTGTTTTTTTAAAAATAATTATTCAATATTATTTACATTACAAATAAATTTTTTAAACAAATAGATAAATTATAAAATAGAATTACCAAAAAGAAAAAGATGAATTACAAAATATATAATATTCTAGTATTTCGTCGGAGATGAATTTTTTTAACACACATTAGTCTAAAATTTCGCCAAACGAAGAGTCTAACAAAAATGAAAAACTTGAAAACAGACCATACCGATTATTATTCATTCACATTGGTATCTGCCCTAACTCCTCAGTTAATTTGTGATGCTTGAAAATATATCGCAATAGCGTTCTGGTCTCTCCTATTTGGGACTTCCATTTGGCGAGTTCGATTAGGGTTTTCAGGGTTTCCTGCTGCGCTACTAGAGATGGGAGGAGGCAATGGGCAAAAGTCGAAGATGGCTAGGGAGAGGAACATGGAGAAGAACAAGGCCGCAAAGGGTAATGCTCGTTTCTTCTCTTCCTCTTTCTCTGTATTGAAGTTGATAATTTTACATTCATGGTCTTTCTGGTTGCCAAGAATTGGTTTGGAAAGATTTATAACCAGAATTGGAAATTTAAATATCTTGAAACAAAGTGTATCCACTTTTTACTTTGGATTTTGGAAATTTGAGACTGCTAGATCTCCTTATCCTTGTTCTTCGTAATCTGATGTACTCATCTTCCCTTTTGCAGGGAGCCAGCTGGATTCAAACAAGAAAGCGATGACCATCCAGGTAATCTGGTGTTTATAGCAGCTTTTCTAATGGAATTATTCATGCGTACACTGCCTCTTCTTCCTCCTCTTCTTCCTCGTACGGATTCATTAATCCGTCTGAAGTTCAATGGTTTTATATTGCTTTGTCTGTTATTTCGGCTTTATATTGCGTTGCTGCATAGAGTTCTGTCTTTTATTATCACTTCGAAAATATCAAATGATTGAGACTTTGATTGCCAACAATCTGCTGGTATTTGATCGTTTAAGTGAAAACATTTGTTGAGTATCTTCCGCATCTGAATTCCCTGTTCATCGTCAGTTGTTTAAAAGTAAAATGAGACTATTATGTTTAGGTAGTTATGCTTTGTGAACGTACGCACAGTGCAGTCAAACTCGAGAAATTGTGATTTACAGTTGATACAATGATAACTAATTCTTTAATTAAAGCTAATGTGAATCAACTATCATTCGGGATTCCCATATTTTGGTTTGTCAGCACTTACATATATTAAATTTCAATGTCTCGTTTTACGGGGTAAGACCAAGGGGATAAATAACTAAGTCAGCCTGGGGGATGCGTGTGTTTATTGTGTGTCCGCAAGAGTGAGATCCCATCATTGGTTATTTACGAGGGGTGCATTTTCGAAATTCATCTTATAAGTAATATTTCATTTGACTGATATTAAATGCCTATTGCCTGAATCTGTCCCAAAAAATTAAGCATGATACTATCAAAAATGCGTGCATCTGTAAGATTTGAAAATGGATGCATGACGCAGTCTATTATTCAGTAACGTTTTGATCAATGATTGCAGTGCAAGGTGTGCATGCAAACCTTTATCTGCACCACATCGGAGGTGAAGTGCAAGGAGCATGCTGAAGCCAAACACCCCAAGTCTGATCTTTATACTTGCTTTCCTCATCTTAAAAAGTGAGTGGTCTAGTGACAATGGCCTCTTTTATGTATATCCATGAATCTCTATATCTTGATGTGCCTGTATGCTTGACTCCTGGGGAAGTGAGAGGAGAACAAAGATGGGGCGAACCCAAAAAGTTCAACTGTGTGATGATCAACGGTGTTAGCATCTGTGTTTTACAAACCCATATATCCTATATATGGGAGGTTTGACTATCATATAGCGTGCCAACATTCTGAAGCCGAAATGACTCATGTCTCATTAATTACATGTTCAGCAACGTGCAACATGTCAAGGTCTTTTTCCTCCTAACATCTCTTTCTGTTTTTCCTTCACCTATATCGATTGTCTTTATGCAAGGCTTGAGCTTTTATCTCAAAAACTTATCAGGGTTAGGTTCGGATTTACAGTTTAAATATAACGGTTCTATAAGGTGTTTATTTTAGTCTTATATTTTTTCTTCCAAGTGTACGACTTTTCCTCAAATGTCTGTATTAATTATACATAGTGAGGGGGTTTTCATCAAATAGTAGTTATAATGCGTATGAATAGAAAGGACATGATAGAGAAATCAACACATTTTTGTTATAACTAATTTAACTAATTTTTTCCATATCTGTAAATTAATTATCTAGTTTTTATAAAGGATGAAACAGGATGTTTAATAAAGGCAATTAAAAAGAGCTCATCAAAAATTGAACCCAAAAAATCAGGTAATGGGATTCGAATTTAAGCCTTTGTGCGATGTAAGGGTGTTTTTTTTTTTTTTCCGGTCGTAGAAGGGGTAGGCAAAGGATTAGTTACAATGGACAATGTTGTCTTCATAATCTTAAAGAATTAGACTACATTAAGGTGAGTTAAAAAGATGACGAGCGGAAAGAGTCAGATTCCAATTAAGAATTGTTTGGGCTGTATGAGTTGGCCACACGCAAATATTTTCAGTGTTCATCGGTGAAATGCCGCCATGCTTCATGAAATCCATTACAAAATTACTTTTCCAGTCTTAAATATAAAATCTTTATATAAAAACAAAAGAGTATATATTGTATTATTTTTGAGGGACGTGACTTTTAAAATTCACTCATCTCCCTGCGCTAAGCTTCTATGAAAACATCACTGGATAAAATCTCATTTCTGTGCATGTGCATCTTGGATATAATTTATATTCATACTTTGATCTCATTCTCGTGTCTATCTTATTCTTATTCCATTATAAATCTTACCTTGGAACCAAAGCAAGCCTCCAGGTAGTCGGATCAGCGGAATCTGGCATTATTCGCAGAGCTCTCAATAATCAAACTACGGATAGACTATGAATGCGTTCCATGATGGAAATCAAATAAACAAATGCTAAGGATCCATATCCCCAACAAAAGAGCCTTCATATTCCTCTCCCACTCCGTCCTCTGAGAAATTCAGGGCCGGGGAAGGAGGAGGCAAGTGTTTAAACGGGAGCATTCCGAAGAGTCCTCAAATCAGATTAGTTCGCCGTCGTGACATAAAATTTCAAATTTCAATGCTCAACAAATTAAAATTAACATTATTCTTCACATGAAACAAGATTCATCATATTGTTGAGGAACACCAGAAAATAAACATCTATAACTAATTTATGGCAGATAAAGAGCAGGTTAGGGTATTATATTACAATCCCGAATATTTGAACTTAGGTCTATGAAGCCATATATAATAATATCACTGTGTCCTCATTCTGCTATTTTCTGCAGCCCTTACCTGAGAGAAATATGGATGTGCCTGAAGAATATACATCGAGACGGAGAAATAAATTAGAGCGTCGAAAGTTCAATAAGAAAAATTCGCTAACATTTATTATTATCTAGCACCAAAAGAATCATCTCAACTTTCATATAAATATATATATTGTCAATTTATTGACAGGGAGAAAAACAAAAGAAAGGAGCTCTTTTAAAGTTACCATAGCTTCCCTTGCAGTAAGCCTATCCTGGTGATCATATCGAAGGAGCTTATCAAGAAAATCGATTGCCTGCATGTCAGATATACGGAGAATTCAGAGACATACATAAATATGAAATCTTAGGACTTGCAAAGTTGCCGTTTAAAACTAAATAAAGGGTCCAGATACAAATGGGAACGTAGATTAAATGACCTCTGGAGACACAAGATGCTGATTATCTGAATTAATAAATTTAGACCAGGGTTTCCGACTGTGCCTGCAGAAGAAAACACCAACCAATAAAATATGATATAAAGCAGTAAATCAGTAATATTTATTTCTTCATCTATCAAGGGAAAACATAACAGAGGAAGCAAATCTTTTAAAGAGAGAGAAGACCATACATTGCAATGAAATATATGATAGAAGGTTGTGAATAAAATAAAACTTGCCATTAAAAGAAAGCAATTCACATACCTTCCAACAAGCGCATCGAGCTGAGGATCAAGCTCTAGATGATACTTATTCAGATATGCATTCAATTCATCAGTTCCAAGCACCTGCAGAGTACCCCAGATAAAGGGTACAAGTTAGATAGGTTCATTGGAAGGAGTGACAACAAATTAATATCTTTTAATGGTAAACAAGATATACATATTTAACCAAAGGGGAAAAAAAAAAACAAACAAACAAACTTCAAATCACTGTCACAATCTAAAAGATGACGTTAAGTTGCACTGGACTTGCACAGCATATAGCCATAGAACATTTACCTTAGCTATCTTCACAAGTTGATCGTGGTTGTCATGCCCATAAAAGAATGGTTCCTTGCGGAATATCTACATGAAGTATAAATATCATAAAACAAATTATGCTTCTCTCTACATGGTTATTTTAAACTAGATTTTCCACATGAATAACACCAAAGGCATGCTACGTGTAATCCAGTGACACAAAGCCATATTCCTCACCATTCCAGCAAACATGCAACCAAGGCTCCACATGTCTAATGAGTAGTCATAGTCTTGCAAATCAACTAGAAGTTCAGGCCCCTTAAAGTATCTGAAATCAAAAAGTACATGACCATTTAAGAACCAAAGAAACAACAACAAATCCTCACAATGAAATACTTAAAAGTGTAAGCACTTTTGAATATCAGTCCCCCCTTTCGAGGATTTGGATTTAGGCAAAGATTTATATCAAGTTATCAACAAATACAAGTGCCAAACATAAGGATAGTAAGTCGTTACAGTCAGACAGCACAATCAGACATTAAAGTCCCTTAAACCACACATGATTGCAAGGATATATTTATCTTACATAAGACGAGCATCATTTACATATATTTCGAAGTAGGAGATCAAAGCCTTCAGAAAAAATGCTCATCTAAATGGTCTTCTGATAAAGCACAGCTCTATACTGGTATTCTAATGTGTGTTGCTCTGGGCCAACGCCCATCATCTTCTAATCACAAAGTTTCTGTTGTTTTACATTGAAATAAAAATGAATTGGGTGATAGCTTATTACAAGCAACACTTGCATTACTATAATAAAACACAGACAAGGATATTTCTCAAGATTACAGTATTTTGTTGATCCACAATAAGGAGACAGCAATGATTTGAATGCCGAAACATTTTATGAGAGATACATCCGACATTTTTTAAAATTGTCAAATTTTCATGTTATTTGGGTTGACAAGCCAAATTATGCTACTTCGGACGAATCCATCAATCGTTGGCATACAAGATTTTAAAAAGCCGACCAGCAAAATGTTGTATCTCATTATGTGGTAAGTCCAAATGCAAGCTTAACCCCTTCAAAGATGCCTTAACAGTACTGCTTGATGTCACTTGATACCATCAACACACTCACAATTCTGCTCACTGCCGTTTTACATATTCGTGTCTTTACCATTAGAGTTGAGGTTGAGACTACAGTTAAATGGTCATTGAACACTACCTTGAAGCCACACGAACATTGTATTCCCTTCCAGGATGATAAAATTCAGCAAGACCCCAATCTATCAAGCGAAGTTTTCGCAGTTCATGATCTATCATAACATTGTGAGGCTTGACATCTCTATGCATTATGCCTTGAGAATGACAGTAATCCAAGGCCTACAAGGTAAAAACAAAAATAAGGTCAAGTTCTCAACACACTTTTCTTTGGAAACAGAATGGGGCCAAAAGGCTCCCTCTGCATGTTTGTGACAAATTTCAAGTATTGCATCATGCATATACAAAAGCCTACATGCATGTGGCAAATGCAAAACTCTATATCAAGCCCTGTCCAAGACAAGGTACTGTTACTACTTTTGTGGATAACATTATGTTCAATTGGAGACAGAACATAAAGTGGCAGTTGCATGTAACCCAAACGAAATTGAAGAAACAAATTACCTTAAGGAGCTCGTAGATGTAATAGCGGATGTCATAATCAGTCAAGGTTGGATACAAAACTTTAAAATCTGTACTGTTGACATACTCAAATATTAAGCTGGGGGTTTTTGAATGCTGATCTCTGACAATATCGAGAAGCTTGACAATGTTTGGGCCACCACAAAGGTTCTGGAGTATTTTAATCTCTCTTTTAATCTGCACATGAATGTTGAAGAGCTTATAGGTAACACAAACTTCTTAGATGACTTCAAAAGATATAGAACTTGAAACAGAGAATAACAAAACGAAGTTACTAGATGAAGCCAAGTGATGATGCTCCCTAGTAACGATTATATCATTGCATATTCCATGCCTTCTACAAAATATAAATAGCTTATATTCTTTTTTTAAAATATGCCTTAGTTGTGCAAAATGTACTCATTTCACGAATTTAAAGAATTTCCTGCCCTTTTCTCTTGTTAGTTTGTGCTGTGAATCATGACCTGATTAGTCATTTGACTACATGATCAAAAATTCATACAATGAAATTGTTTCGCAGCAGATTTTAGATAAACAGTTTGTGCATCGCTTATTCACCTTGGGCTCATCCATATCACCAAAGTTGGTCAGCCTAATTAAGGTTGCCACAAGCTTATACACTCTTCATCTTTCTGGTTACTTTTAGATGTAGGACTTCTATTCTTCGGCATTGTTCATGTCACAGCCTTCATTTTTTTGTTTTGTTTTGGGGTTTAGATTTGTACACTGGAACATCAGCGGTCCGGCATTTTTTTTTGACAGGATTTTCAAATCTTGCAGCCATGAGGCTCTGATATCGTGTTGTATAGGATTGTGCTTTGGCTCACCCATATCACCAAAATAGCTTAAGCTACTGGCTATGATTACCACGATTTTACATACCCTTCATCTTTCTTATTACCCATAAATGTTGGACTTCTAGACTCCAACATAGTTTATAGAAGCAGTCTGGCCCGAGTTGGGGGCTGGTTGATGACTTGCACTGCTGCAGCAGGCCCTTAGGGGAAGGGAGAAAGAAAATTAAAAATGAACAGAGAAATTTACCTTCTTCTTTTTGACTGGCTTCAGAATCTTAATTATGCAGCGTTCATTGCTATTAACATTGATGCCTTCAAACACCTCACTATACTTTCCCCTTCCTACTTTCCGCACAACCTCATAATCATCTTGATCACTGTGACAAGCAAAATGAGGATTTGCTTAAAAAATGCACATGATACGTTAACAAATAACATTGCAAGTGGGGAAAAATGTAAAATCAAGAGGATTTGAGCTACAAGACATTAGTCTCATAACCAAGGAAAGGATAAAACATTATAGAAATCTTCCAGAGGTCCCAAAGTTACCCATTTCATTTCAATATAACTGAGCCAGGAACTTATACAACTCATGCAAGCAAACCTGGCTCAAAAGATAAAGATGTATATGTAATTAGATTCAAACAACAAATATCATGAACCGGATCGAATTTTAATTAAAAAAAAATGATCCTCCATCAGATTCTCCCTTTTCTTATCACAAAGAGCGACAGCAAAAGATGTAATCAAAGAGATATGACGGTATCTATTATATACATACACACACACATATATAACATGGTTTCCCCTCCATCACTTGGCTGATAAGAAACTAAAAGATTAAATAAAATACGCCGATAATTTGTCGGACCTCTAGAGAACAAAAAAGGAGGATGCACAACAGCTAAAGAACTAGATACAAAGAGATTCGAAACTTAAAAATCTTCATTCATTATGAATTGTAGCTGGTAACCAATGAAAGGACCGGTAAAACAGATCCCGCAAAACGAATTAGGATGAGAAATCAAGAACAAAGCAAATAAACGAGGAAAAGATTGGGCACAATTAGGGTTTCAGGTAATACCCCCATTGAACAGTGAGAGACTCGTAATCCCAATACTCCTTGGGGCGAAGGACATTGACATCCGCGTAGACGCGCGCCTTCGACATGGCTCGGCAATAGAAATCCAAGATCTCGCCCTTATGGTGATCGGGCTTGTTGCGCAGGTGGATGATGGTAGGGGGGGTGGCGATAGTATCGATGGGGAAGATAGGGAAGGAGGGGATGCGCACGTTAGGTGGGTGCGCAACCGGCGTATGCAAGGCGACGAGGGCGCCCACTAGTGATAAACGGAGGAGTATGGCTGGTTCATGCGCATATATCATGTGCGGTGCCACCTGCCCAAGTCATCCTGCCTTTCGACGCTGGGCTGCATCTGCTCCCATGTCTCGCCAAAAACTAGTTTTTGGGTGCGTAAAATATCTCTCCCGGGGGGAATTCTTGTGTATGACCCACCGTGTGGGACCGCGCCAAGAATATCATGACGTGGCAGATCATGACTGGCATTCATCGCTGCAAAAGAATCCCGTGACGGGGTTAGCTTAAACTAAAACTTACGTAAATCCTTCGACATGAATAGAAAAGTAGTAATATAATGGTATTAATTAAACATGGTTCGGAGCACGGGAAAAGAAGCGAGAATGCCGCCGTTATACGTCTGGGACCCTGGACTCCAGCAATTTTTCATTAGGCAGGGGGAGATTTGCTTCATAAGTACTCTCTCTTCTTTCTGATCTTTATAAAAAAACTTATTTAATTTTTATTTTAATTATAAATATAAGGTTTTAATTTATTTTATCTCTTATATTTATCTATTTTTTAAGGTAGTCTTTATAATAATAGTAGTTTTAACCATTGCATTTGATTAGTAAAAGTATTTTAGAAAAGACAACATCTACTTATTATAAATAACTAACTCAACTAATATTCTTAATCTACTCAAATTAGTCAACTAACTTTTATATTAACAACTGAAAGTGGTATTAAAGTGTGTTGAAACTATTAATTATATTGAAGTGAATTTTTCACCCAGGAAATTAATACTAGTTTTATTAATAAATTGATTGACAGAAGCCTTAAAAAAAAGGTAGCCTTAATGAGAATATTACAGAATTCAAGACTTTATAAGGTCCATCATTCAAGACTACTTTGCACTACGTCACTTCACTTAGTGCTTCACTCAACCTCTTGTTAGTTACGCTCCTAGTTAGAACTCCTCATAAGTAACCTTTTCTAACTAGCATACTCTTAATGAAAGTATTATTGTAACAAGTAGAAGTCTTTGAAAAACTATCCCCTAAAAAAATTGTGCTCATTACCCATGAATTACAGGCAATATTACAATGAAGAAGCACGATTGTATTTACAACGGAACGGATCATGCTTGCCCGTTTTTTTTCTTTTCGTGAAAAAAGCTTGCCCCAATTTGCCAAGTGACATAAAAGATCCAACTTTCTCGTTGCAAGTCTTTTGCCAAGTGGGAGGATGTGGTGAATGAGCAATGAAACGGAGGCTGAAGACACGAACGAATGAGCCAACAAACTCAAAAGATTTTGTAACCCAAAAATTTCTACCTTCGTCTAGCTAAAGTTTCGACTGATGTGTACGCTCAGCGCCTCGATTACAATACCGATGCATCCACGCAATTATATGGCGAGATCAATTTTTAAGATGTTTTACACATGATACATAAACAAGCAAAACGTTCATGGATAAACACCCCATACACACAAACGAGCGCCATCACAACCTAAGACAGTTCCAAGTTTAATTTAATTTGATGTGCTCATTCATTAATTCATTAATAGAATCCAAAATCCATGGGGGTTTTGTCAGTGTTTATTTCATGGTACACGCCTTGGAGAGTGGACAAGTGGTTGAGGATGCTCGCATATTTACAAGCCACGCATTGTTAAACTAGGGGGAATTGCATACAAATCAAAATATATAGAAGGGGATTGAACGATGCTGGATGAAGATGAGAAATGATATATTTGTTATTCTTTCCCCTACATTCATACAGCTTTAGGCTGAATCTGCTCAAAGTCAAAAACTTCAAACATTAGACGTCTTACATCACGCTTCCCATAAACAGCATATGCAAGACCATGAATGGATTGCTGAACAGCCGTGGTGGCGGGGTTCCTCATTCTCCGGTTATGTTCATAACGGTCCTGTACCTGCTCAGAATATATGATGAAACGGTGGAGATGTTTGTCCCTCAAATATCTTCCACAGTACTTGTTCATAAGAAGGCGACGGTGCCTCTCCTGTAGCCACAAGCCTGGAGCATCTAAATGCTTCATCAACAATCTTTCAGCCATCACCAAATCCTACAGGAATTTGTTTTTGACAAAGAAAAAACACCGTAAGTACATAGCATCCAATGAAGAAGTAAGCAGATTTTGGACTCTTGGGCCACCTGAATAATTATCTATATTAATCAACCAGTGCTTCGTTGGGTTGCCTAGAAGTACTGTTGATATGGGAATGGAATGAAGACAGCCATTTATGCACGCTTGGCAGATAGAATGAATCTCCCATTCCATTCCTTTAGGAGTGTTCACTTCCTATAAATTTGGAAATGGATATTCCCTGGTGATTTGGATGTAATGGTGCTTCATTTGTGAGAATGAGATGATCAATTGCTACTTTTCTCTTCTTTTTTTTTTTTTTTTTTTGGGTAAGATGCTACTTTTCTCTTTTATGATATATGCATTGAATTACAAAATAAAACATTTGATTAACTAAACTATTATTATTAGTGCTACTTAAAAACTACATTCGTTTATTAAAAATTTCTTGTTTTGTTATTGGCATAAAAATATTTCTACAAACCTGAAAAGTAACAAATCAATATGTTTTACCAAATATTAAATATATGTATTAATTAAAAAAATAATGAATATTATATAGTTCTATCCTAAAGGTATAAGTGTAATAGTCATTCCAATTATATTCTTATTTTCATCCAACCAAACACAACTATGAAGTAGAAAATCTATTTCTTTCCATAACACAACATAATTTTTCCATTTTATCAATATTCATCCTCATCCCCATTCCACAAATGCAGGTAATTGTCGGATAGAAAACAGAAAGATTAGCAGTACCTGTATCTTTTGGCCGAGGTATTCTAGCCTCTCATAGCAAAATCGAGGATGCTCAAATTTGTATTTCGATGGATGCAAGAAACAAAGCTGCAATGAAGTGGGATATTCAATTGGACATCAGCATTTAGAATAGAAGCAAAAAAGGAAAAAAGCAACCAAAAAAAAAACACACACACACAAATTAGAGCTACCTGTAAACCAAGTCCAAGTTCTATATTCCGAGCTTCAGTAAGTTCTTGAATGCTATCTGTCAATTCTAAAGGATATCCCAGAGCTTGCATAACCTGCGGTCTGCTATCATAATCCCAAACATTACCTCTGAACCGATGCATTCCTGGAGGAACACAAGCTCTGAAGAGCCTTGGATGTGCAAACAGAGCATCTGCAGGAGGCTGAACAAAGAAAAGTAAACATAATTGCTGTACTTCTCTCCAATGGCAACAAGATCAACAAAATTAACTATAAGGTCAACAAAATCCATGAGATAGGAGTCTTATTTTAGGGCATGGGCTTAAAACATTCAAATATGATTAGACATCACTCAGAACCTTATGTGTTAACTCTAAATCAAATATCACTGTAGCAGAAGACATGGAGAGCTTGCCTTGTATGTAGCCACATCTTGCCAGCTTAGCTTGCCTTCAAATTCAGCAGATACATAATCGACATCTTCAAGTTGTCTACGTACTCTGGGTTGGCAATCCTCAGCATCTGGATCCATTCCAAATGCTTCAAAAAGAACGCGATATACTTCTGGCATGCCAAAACACAGATAGATTGCACCAAACAAAGCCCAAAATACAGACCTGTGATAGATTAACAAATTTGAAAATACAAGTCAATAAACGGGCAGTTCTTTTCATCAACAGATCAAGGACAAGAGCATATCCATTGATTAAGACGGTTCTGCAATAAATTGATGATTCTGGAATGCATTAAAAACATTTTATTCAAGCTATTATAAGAGATATCGTGGAATGCATTGAAAGTATTTTGTTGAAGGCTAGTCAAAAAACTATCTTGGAAATTTAACAAGGTCATCGGATTCAGAGATAAATAACAAAACTTATAGCAGATACAGTTAACTCAAGATTCATGCTAAGGATGGTTAAATCAGATACTTCATATAATAAGCTTCTAGCAAGAGCATTGGCCTCAGAGTACAAGGTCCAAAGCATGCAAGTATTCACTTGAAACGCATTCAACATCAACACAGTTTCTTTTCTCTACTCCAAATAATACTGGGCATAAATCTCCTGCTGCAATAAGAAGCAACTAAGAAGACCATAAATAATACTCTACTGGTTCTTAATATAAGATCTAATTAGAGAGTTGACATTGGTCCTCTATATAAGACCTATTTCACATGTTTATCAATTTTTTCCTAAATTAACCCTATTAATATTTTCTTAACAATAATCAAGTAGAAGAAGAAGGGAGAGAGTTAAGGAAGATACTTTAAGTGTTTCAGAAAAAACACATCATATTAACCAATTTAACTAACATTCTCAATCTACTCAAATTAGTTAGTTAGGTCTTATATTAAGGATAAGAGGAATACTTTGTTTTTAGTCGTAGGTCTTAAACTCAGGCATCTAGGTAATAGGACCTTAGGTCCTTAATCATACTAAGGTTTTTTTTTTTTTGTGGGTTTATTAATAAAATTTAGAAGTATTATACTGTGTTTTAATGATGATGATAATGATGATAAAATAAAAGGTAAGCTTAATGCGTCAAAGAGAATACTAAATCAGGGCAGCAGAGCTGCTCGAAGAATATGGGCCAATTGTAATAAATCGGCACAGAAAGTGCAGGATATAATAGAAAAATTACAACTAGTAGAAGCCACAGCATGCTTGCAGAATTATCCCTACCGCATTTTCACTGGAATTATTTCTAACTATGATGCAACTCCGAAAAAGAGATAACGTAACAAACCAATTGACAACCTAAGTCATTCAGCAAGTCAGAACCATATGCAGAATCAATTACTCAGAGATGCAGCAATACTAATTGATACGAAAATCTCAAGAAAAGAATGAGAGAAAGAGAAAAGACATATTGAAGTTAGAAGAGCTTACTTTACGGGTGCTTCCCTCTCCTTTCTCACCAACTTGTCCATATCATCATATGGGAAGATCAGATTCTGCAAGCTAGCGGCTTTAATCCACTTGGGCAAGTTTCTCTTTCCAATTAAACCAAATACCCTCTCCCGCATTGGACCCGGTGACTCCCTCGGATATCTCTGTAAGAAATATTCTGCCAGCGCCAGCTCAAGAACATACTGCCCTAAAAACAATAGCCTAGTGTGGCCGGATCTCACGTGCCTTGCCTTTGTTCTCTCACACGATGGATGTTGAAAAGCCAAGTATAACAAAGTATCGAATTGCTTTGCCGGATTATCTTCGCCGAGGCTTTCTGACGGCTCAAGTGAGTATCCCAGAGCTTGCTTCGCTTCAAGCAAGTACTCGTCCATCCATGTCTTATCAGCATTGTTAAGCCGAGAAGAAGGTAAGCAGGAACTCAGTAAAGGAAACGATTTGAGGGACAATTGAGGGCTATTGAGAAACCTCTGAGCTAATTTATTGTCATCAAGAGGAGGCCGTAAAATGAACTTCCTCGGCGGTGCCTTTTTCTTCGGAGAGGTTACTTTCTTACGTTCAGCGAGCTCCTTCAGAAGTCGTTGAGGACTATTTTTAGGAAGTTCTTGTGGTGGGTCTAAGGCCACAGCCAAAATACGAAAGCTTTGTGAGGTACGATTTTGGATTCCGGGGTTTCTGGTGAGCGTTTGAAAACGAAATGAAGAAAGTGAGGATGAGAAGGAGTAATTAGAACCCTGGGATGGTTTTGGGGAAAGGATGAAGGAAGAAGAAAGTTCCATTATCAAAAGCTAATTGTAGGGTTTTCGTCTTGATGGTCGACAGAGAGATGGAACGGCACAAGATAAGGCGAAGCAGAGTGGCACAGCCATGGGCGGGACTGGCTTGAGCTCGATAGATATTTCGGGTGAACATTATGTTTATTCCCAGTCTAACGGCGCCGTATCAATGATTTTTGCTTTCGCCATCATCAGTGTGACAGTGTCACCTTTTTTTTTTTTTGCCAGAAGTATTGGGCCTATTAAACTGGGCTGTCATATGTCGAAAAGCCCAAATATTGCCGACCAGTTATCATACGCTGGAGGGGAACTTGGTCCCCGCCTGAACCACATAAACAGTAAAAAATTTTATTTAAAATATTATATGATGAAAAGTGAAAATACTAAATCGGAAATCATTCATTTGAAAATTGAGTTTAAATTTTTGAAGAAGTCGTTTGCCTAAAAAATACGTTCTGTATCTGAACTTTTTTTTAATCAAATATTAAAATTGTTGACTTGAGAAATAATTTCAACTTTGCCGCTTTTCGACCCACTTCATTATCTCTTTCTCTTTCCATTTGAATTTTGTAGAGAATTGCAATTCATGACCCAATCCCTTCAGTACATTCATTTTTCTGCAAAACATAAAAAAGATATAAGTAGATTTTATGTAAAGATTACTGCTTATCATGATAATTAAATTTAAAATTAATATATAAAATAAATTAAATAAATATAAAATCTACTTATGCTTGCCCTCATGTCCAATATAAATCAGTCCAACTAATTTATCGGAGTAAAAAAAATAACACTTAACTCATTAAATTTGTCTGAAATTCATTTTTTTTAACTTCATCATATTAAATGAGCTATATTTAAGCATCAAATACTTGGCAAAATTAATCAATAAGCATTAAAATTGAATTTCACGAGAAAATACCAGTGCAGCTTTAGATCTTTAAATTGAATTTTATGAGACCATTAAAATTTCATGTCAACAGTTTAGAATTATAGCAGAGGTTCAGTGGAAGGGGCAAAAAAAAGCAGTAGATTGTCTTCCATTCACAAGCAGAAACCTTTTTTTCTTTCCTGGACCAATGTTCTCAAGTAGAACTTGAAAAATAAAAATGCAAAATTTATCCACTTGCAACATTACAGACTTCACCAACACTGTAAATACTCTTACTGCTCACGAGCACGTACTTTCTTGCTGCGTGGTCGTCCTCACACTTCGTTGCCTACTTGCTTCACGGAAATGTTTATCGGGGCGAAAGATCGTTTGCTTCCTCAGTTACTTCTAATTGGTTTTTTCCCCCTTCCCTTTGTCAGTCCCAGATATACTTATTGACAACTTGCATTTTCTTCAACTTATTAGACGGATTGTTTTACCTCCTAGTTGTCTCAGATTTCTCTTCGTCCATAGCTTTTAGATAATTGCTTGCCTGAGACTACTCTGTCTCGGGTTATGAAACTTCTTCCTGTGTTGGTGAATCAATGGGGTTTTTCTGAAAAGAGAGCTGAAGAAATAAGAGGAATTATATCAAATGCACTAGTACAAATTTACGCTTCATTTCCTTGACGGATCATATGTCGTTAAGGTCATCAATCATAGTGACCAGCATCGAAAAGTAATGGCAAGAAGCTATCTGCTATATATATATATATATATATATATATATTCATTTCTTATGGTCCTTGACTCCATTGATTATATTCATTCCATTTGGGTATCCATCCATCCTTTCCTATTTCCAAATACCTTGAGACCCTTCTGATGGAGCTAGTGAAAAGGGACGGGTTCAGTGTAGGCTTGTGGTGTAATGTCACCCCTTCCCGCACTCATCTGGATCATCAATGCTTTGATTTTGATTAGTGTAAACGTAGTTGACCAGGTATTTCAGGCGTTATGGAGGTGGCCCCAGGTTGATGCGTGTCCATAAGATTTGTGGTGCGCGGATGCATTTTTCGGGTGGCCAATCCAACTAAAAAGGTTAGATGAAGAAATCAACTTAGCTCCTGGATTGTCATGATAAATTCATCATTATGAGGATCGGCCTGCTTCCTGAAGAAGACCTTTACAGAGCATGATGTGAAGGGACGATTACCACCGACGACCTTAAAGCCACAGGGCAAGTCCTTCATTAATATTAGGAGACATCAATAATTGCCTGTTTGGATAATACATCTGCCATGACCGGCATAGCATGTCAACTACCACGTGGACGCATAACATACGAAAAACAGCAATTTGACAAGTTCTTGATGCCAAGATTCAACTCCTACTTCTATTTGTTTTGGGGAGGGGGGAGGGGGGAGGGGGGCGCTGCTTTCTGCTGCAATGTTAAGGAACGAATTGGTGAATTGCGAGAATACTTCATCTTAAACGAGCATTTTCATAATTAAGAATGTTTTATAACTTATACTATCTACGATCTTTGATACAAAAACTTGTTTGATTTGTATAAAACACCATGAGGCTTGTTCTTGTGGCAAACGAAACTTTCTCAAGTGGTTCCTTTGAAAATTCTGGAGTAGCCATGCAGGCTATTCTCGTGGGCAATAACGCTTAATGTAAATAAACTGCTAAAAGGCAAACATGCGAGAACGATTTGATTTCCACTTCCCAGGTGCAAACAATAGCTGTTAGATGCCAATCAACATGCAATTATCTAGTCTCCTCCGTGAAGCCGACACCGCCCACCATTGACAAGTGACAATATATCTTCAAGCTTCTCCATTCTGCCCCTCCTCCTGTTTATTATCACCTCTAGTCCTTAATATAAAAACTTATTTGATTTTTATTTTGGTCCTAAATATAATATCCCAATCCATTTTTTCTCTCATATTTATGTATTTTTTTCAAAGTAATCTTTCTAACAATGGTACTTCTAGCCAATACACTTGATTAGTAAGAATATTTTAGAAAAGACAACACTTGTTTATTACAAATAACTAACTTAACTTATTTTTTTAATCTTTTTAAATTAATCAACTAACTCTTATAATTGAGATCGGAGGTAGTATATCTGAACTTCTGAAGTACCATTCATATTACTTCTCCTACCTTATATTACCTACTTTTATTGTACAGAAGAGGACCCTGTTTTGGTAATTTACCATATGATTTGTTTGTTCCCTTCGTTGCAAGAATGGGGAAACTGATTTGAGCTTCGGTCCGTGTCCTTGCTATTCTCGAATAATTTTGTTCCCTTCGGTGTTTTTCAGGTTTTAAGAGGAAAAAGTTTGTGAAGGAATATGAGGTACTAACTCTTTCCTCTCGCCTGGAGAAGCTATACAAGATGTCAAAAAAAAAAATGTTGACCCTGGGGCTTGAACTTAACCGACTCAATCTATGTGTTATTTCTTTGCCTCATCTGCGACAGTACTAGAATAGAAACCTTACTACAGTGCGCAAGAAATCTGTCTCTGCCTTGGTGGATCGTGATCAGGAGAAAACTCCACCTGCTACTTGCGACATGTCTCCGAAGAAGAAGGAGAAGCTTATTTCAACTGCCATGAAGAGAACTAGTGAATGGTATGCTTCTGAATATTGATACTCAATTGACTATTCTTGGGTGTGTCTCCTGCCCATGCGTATAACTTGCTTCAGCAATGTGCATCTGCTGCTGTTTCGTAGATATAAGGAAATTTATCGAAACCCGCGTTTTTAAAACTTCTTGTAGGGTTTTCTCTCATGGGATTCCAAGTGATGTTACAGTTCAAGTTGCAGAGGCTTCCTTTTTCTTGCATAAGGTAGTAACTCTTCATCTGCATATACCGGACTCATTACTACGAGAGTCGTTAACATAGAGAAGGCAGAGTGTATCTTCCTTCTTCTCCACCATTTTTTCGATTACTTGCCTATAAATAGAACTTAAACTAAAAAGCAAGTATAATGATTATTGTTATTCTGTTCTTCAATTACGTTGAAATTTTTTCCTTATATTTCCTAATACGTACTTGCAGTTTCCATTAGCCTCTAAGTGTGGATACATAAGGAAACTGATCTCAGCATCTAATCATACTGATGCTTCCATCATTGAACTCCGTGATGTCCCTGGTGGGGCAGAAGCATTTGAACTGGCAGCGAAATTCTGTTACGGGATAAATTTTGAGATGAGCGTAGAAAACATTGCTATGCTTCGCTGTGTTGCAGAGTATCTTGAGATGACAGAGGATTACTCTGTTAGAAACCTGGTGGGAAGAACCGATGCTTACTTGAATGAAGTAGCACTTAAGACTCTTCCAGGGGCTGTGTCTGTATTACACAAATCAGAAAACCTTATTCCTATAGCAGAGAGAGCAAAACTGGTAAGCCGATGCATAGATGCCATTGCATATATGGCATGCGAGGAAAGCCAACTCTATACTTCTAGAGATGAGAGTGGCACAGAGGATATAATTTCTTCCATGGCATCTCATCAAAGGGACATAATCGATTGGTGGGCTGAGGATCTAACGGTTCTCAGAATAGACATTTTCCAGAGAGTACTCATTGCGATGATGGCCAGAGGGTTTGAACAGTTTGCTCTTGGTCCTATGCTGATGCTTTATGCGCAGAAATCTCTACGAGGTTCGGTGAGACCCCTCACTGAAAGGATCAGTATGTTTTGGATTATTTGGTTTAATGGATTGAGAACTTAACTCTTTTTCCCCCATCATCTCTCTCTTGCAGGAATTAATTGTGAAGGGAAGAAGATTGAGGCTGGAGAAGAGCACGAAAAGAGGGTTGTTTTAGAGACAATAGTGAGCCTTTTGCCAAGGGAAAAGAATGCAGTTTCGGTGAGCTTTATATCTACGCTGCTTCGGCAAGCTATATATCTGGAGACAACAGTTGCTTGCAGGCTTGATTTAGAGAAGAGGATGGCGATGCAGTTAGGACAGGCTGCTTTAGATGATCTTCTTATTCCTACTTATTCACTCACAGGAGACACATTGTTTGATGTGGATACAGTGCAGAGAATCTTGATGAAATACCATGAATCTGATGCAGGGAAAAACTTGGCCTCCAGTGCAGATAGCGAATACTTTTCTCCTCCACAAACTGACGTGGAGTGGGTGGGAAAGCTAATAGAGAACTATCTTGCTGAAATAGCCACTGACCGTAATTTACCAGTTACGAAATTCGTGAGCCTTGCTGAACTAATTCCCGAACAATCAAGGCCAGTAGAAGATGGGATCTATAGGGCCATAGACATCTATCTCAAGGTGCCGTCTTTATTAAACATCGATTTATTTTGTTAGTGTTCTACCTGGCTCAACATTAAATCTACTTTTTACGTAAAAAGGTAGATTCCTCTATGCCAAATTAATGTATTTACTATTTTATTCTCACAGTAGTGACTTGAATTGATGAGGAAAACTACTATTTATCAGTCAACCCCATTTGGGAAGTGACCATGCTGCTTATTTCTGAACTATCCGAATCAGAATTGGATATCAAGATTCCTGCCCATTATTTCAACTGTTTGGAATGCCTTTAAGAAGATTTTTTTCCTAGTTTATTTCTACATATTACAGTAGATCTGATAACAAACTCAAGGTTCTACTTGTTATGTGATTGTGGTAGATAAAATTCTAAACATGGTTGAATCAAATTACTGCTGATGAATTTGGAATTTGTTACAATTCTCAGGCTCATCCTGCTCTAAGTGACATGGAAAGGAAGAAAGTTTGCAGTGTCATGGACTGTCAGAAGCTATCTCGGGTGGCTTGCTCACATGCTGCTCAAAATGATCGTCTTCCTGTTCAAACTGTGGTTCAAGTTCTTTATTATGAACAGCAACGTCTTCGCGACGCCATGGAAGGCTCTCCTTCTGCACCTTCCAAGTTCAGTCTATACCCAGCTGATGCTGATCACTTTCCAAATGACGTCTCCAACTTAAAAAAGGAAAATAAGGAGCTAAAATCAGAACTTGTGAAATTGAGAATGAAACTAAGAGAGATTGACATGTCCACGCCAATGTCAGCAGTTAATAGTCCTGCTTCAAATGCTTCACCTTCTGCAGATAAGTTCCTTGTGCCTCGAAAATCTCTCATAAACTCTCTATCCAAAAAATTACTTACAAGGCTTTCTCCTTTTCTGCGAGCCAAAGATCAGACAAAATCCAGTAAAAATCGACGCCACTCTATATCTTAAAGACCATTGAAGAAATTAATGAGTGCCCGACAAGGAGCCAAATGCAGCTCATGAAAGTTGGCGTGTCAATGAATTTTGCCACTGCAACACCCATTTCATTGAGCTTTTATATTAGCTCTTTACCTTAAATGTATAGTAAGTGTGCTGAAGAATTTTATTCTGTGTGATGCTCCTGTAGATTATATCGCCACGGTTCTGTTCCTTTCATTCAGAACTGTATTGTAAAGGATTGTGTGAAATACGGTGGGATTTCTGGGTGATTACTTGAATTGCAGTTTCGCTGTTGAGAGACAATAATGGTCTAACGCCAGAATGATCCCGACAGTTGACATGGCAAGTGATATAGAGGGATCGTTATTACAGTTTTCCATGATGGTGGAAATATGATAGGAACACATTTGATTTCCTTATTAAGTCCACAAATATTTTAGCAGTTGATCGGTGACATGTGGGTCAAGATGTGCATTATAACAAGCCTAGATCTTCCAAAATATAAAAAGGACCACAAGTTCAATGAATACAAAATATGTGATTGATGACTAGTGGAACAGAAACTTAAATTATTGAGTCCTTCCGGATAAAAAGCTTTTCAGAAAGGTAAAAAAATAGTGGGAGTGACAGCCTAGCAGTACCCGTGAAGTGGTCAGAATTCAGAAAAGCAAAGAGATCAAGGTTTGGTTTCGATTCATGAATGTTCTAAAAGTATTGAAAATGTTGCAAGCAATGCACATTTTGGGACAGACCTTTGCTGAACTTGTTAAAAGCCTGTCGAGTATTTGCAAGGGAATCTACCGTACATCTGATGCAGACAGGAATTACGTCTTTAACTTCTTGTTGGCCAGTATGCTCATGAATCGTGGGAGGAAACTAAATTAGACTAGAGAAGAGAGCCAAAAATTAAATAAATATAAAATCCGATACCGACATAAAGTATTGATCTGGAAGTAAAAAGAACACTTTTATTAGATGTCCCCTATCTGAATGTTATCCCGTAGTGACAACTTCCGTCTGGATTCGTTGTTGATTTATTATCTAGAACTAAAACAGATTCCTTTGACTTTCACCTAGCGAAAGAAAAGCTTGCTCTGAAAGGCTGAACTGCAAGTATTGAAGGAATTTAAACGAGTTAAGAAATAGGATGTTGTCTTTGAAAGAGGGGGCTAAACTATTTCGAGGGATATAATAAACTCGTCGACAGGGCCGTCCGCCATAATCAATAAAAGGATCGTTTTCATAGCTTTAGTGGCAACAATTATGATCTAAAGTGGGACTAAAAGCTCTCGACAAAGGAAAAGTCAGTGGTATGTGAGTCAAAACCGTAATGGGTTGGAGCAAAAGCAAACCATTAATCATTATACAAGACTTCATCACACCCCCACCATACTAGATAACAAGGCAGAACATTCCACACAAACCATTCACAAAGTTGGCCTCAAACAGAAATTTAAATATATATATATATCATATCAATTGACCATAGATAAAAAATTTTAAACTCTCAAGTCATGTTCAAGCTCAAAACTTGAAAAAGCCACGGTGGCTGTTTTAATCTGTCTTGTCTTGATTGTTCTTCAAGATCAAAACTGTTTCTAATTCCTCTTTGACGGATTGAGTTTGAATCCGGCACCTGGACAAGGCCTAGTATGCCTCCGCTTAATTCTTCTCTTGTTGCATCACCGCAATGATGGGTCCTTGAACTTGTCTTGTTTATTTGACTGGATCCAGTAGAAGAAGAAGACAAGCTATGTCCAGAATCCGAAGTTCGCGGTGTCTCAAGTTTCTTCAAACGGTTGTAATTTGAAGGGCCTAGTGTCAGTTCAATCTCAGTCTCATCTACGATCTCTAGCACCCGATCATCATCTAATTCTTCAATGTGCTCTTCCGCAGGCCGTTCAAGATCAAATTTCAATTGAGGTTTGTTCCGTGTACCTTTTTTATGATCAGCATTTTGCGTTAAACAATAGAAGTCTTGAAGCTCCATTGCCGTTGGCTTAGTTCATTGCCTCTGCTCTTCTCCAAATCTTTCATCAGCATCTTCTGGACCCGATACAACCGATGTAATTCATATAACTGAAAAAGATTGAGGATTCTCAGATTCTATTGATATTGCTTGTGAATAATAATCCAAACGAACAAAAAGAGAAGTACGTACCTGCTCTTTGAAAGTTTCTTCATGTTTTAGTATGGCAATCCTCATGTACTCTTTGTCGTATGGCAGAGCAAGCTTCTCCATCGGTGCTGTGCTTACCCTCTGCTTTTACGAGTGATAGTTTTACCCTCCTACCTCGGAAATTTGTGGTCAGACAAGAATCTTCAACCGCATAGGGCTTCTAATACTCCGCCTTTTTCATCACTATTACTCTGAAATGAGAAATAATTCAAGTTCGAATGTACTTGATGGATGAAAAGTTGTTAACGAGGGGGAAAGAGGGTAGTGCGAGAAAAGCATTGCCATCATGGCCTTGAAAGACTAGCACAAAATGATGACATCAACTGCCTTTAAGTATAATTTGTCTGTTCTCTTGCTTGATCATCCCCTTCCCAAATTTTGGACCACAATTAAATGAATTACGAAAGAAAATATCTTCCGGCACTTCTCTCTGCTAAATTTTCCTACCATAACAGTTCGACGTCATTATTCTTGCCATCCGTTTATCGTTTCATTTGTATACATCTCGATAGTCGATACAATTCTTACGTCGAAGGCAATACTTTCTCTTTCTACGTACCTACCAGTATAAAAAACTGCCTGAACAGTGCCATTTTGGCCGGCCATATATGGAAATTAAACCAATTGATATTTAGAATCCCACCCATGAACCTTATTCACAGTGTCTGCATTCTAACGTTAATTCTTCTTTTTCTTCATACTCTGTCTAGCTATTTTTGGACAATTAGCTTAAATCACTGGCAATGCGACAACTAAAAGTTCTCAGAATAAAACAGGTTTCTCAGGATATACCTAGAATACTGCCCAGGTAAACCGTATTCCACGCACAAACTACCCTCACCCTATCAATTTCAAACGTCAATATATCGTCTTCGGTGATAACTGGGGAATCTAGGCAAGTTGCAATCTGGACTTTGGAGTCTCCTGCCCATACAAGTTATGCAAATTGCGAAAATCAACCATGTATTTTAGATGATTTGGCGATTTTGTGCAGGAGGGAAGAAGCAGGGGCCAGTCTGAAAAAATAACTAGTGTAAAACTCAAGAAAACAAAAATATTAAGAAGAGTAATATCGACATGAATGGGTATAAATTCACAAGAGCCTTTCCCGGACCAAACTTGAAACTCTAAATATGCAAGTCTACTGTATTTCAACACAAAACCAAGAAGTTTAATTGAGCCACTAACCTGTGCACCACAGGTTCAAGGAGTAGAGGATACCCCAATTTCGGTTCTCAACAAGAAGACAACGAATATTAAAAGGAGCTCTTCCAGGGAAAGACAACAAGTTCTTCCTCTCGCTTCAGCGTCACAGACAACTTTGTTTGAGACAGACTGCTGCTCTCACATTCCCCATCAGGGTCGTCAGGGTATGGGTGTAGAATTGACACAAAACACACACACACACACACAAGTAGAACTGCTGAAGAATTTAAAATGCTCTCCCAAAGACACTCACAGAAACCAAGCTACTGCATGAGGTCTGAGTTTGAGGCATGCCAAATAAATCCCAGTGCCTTGACCAATGCTAATCAAGTTTTGTGGACGGAATGCCTCAGACGTCCAGCAAAGCAGATGTATTAAATAAAACTATGAGAGGCGATAACAAGTACAGAATTAGTCTATCTACTAGTAAACATTTATATTTTATATTAGCAATCCAGATATA